GGCATCGAAGCTCTGTTTTCGTGACAAGTCTCAGCTGAAATGGCGATTTTGGTGGATGGGAGTGTGCTCTGAACGGGTCGAAATCATTCCAAACGTGTGGTGTGGTGCAAATTTTGTTGAAGCTCACATGCGATGATATTGTCACTTTTCGTGGCAGGCGCAGGACTTCGTGCGGGCTTTGAAGCGTGGAAGTGCAATTCTCGTGGCAGGCGCAGGGAATCGAGGTTGCGAGGTGTGAGGGAGGTGACATTTCGTGGCAGGCGCAGTACTTTGTGCGCGTTAGACGTGTGGATGGGGAAAGATTCGTGGCAGGCGCAGGGAATCGTGAGGTTGTTAGTTGTGGTAGAGGTGAATGTCGCTGTCCCATTGAGATTGGCGTGTGAGCGGATGTTGTTTGGAGGGGCTAGAATCGCGAAACTGCTTGGCAGGGCTACGTGATGTGTGTGCTCCGATGGGTGTTTCCGCTTGACTTTTGGAGGAAGTCTCGTACGAAACGCTCGTTTTGCAGACTTTGACGTGTGAGTTTTTGAGGAAGTCTCGTACGAAACGCTCGTTTTGGAGACTTGACGCGCAACCCTCTGCGGAGATCGTGCGTGTCGAGTGTGCGAAATGCAGGCGAGAGTGCGATTTGTCCCATGCGCGCGCAACCCTCTGCGGAGATCGTGCGTGTCGAGTGCGCGAAATGCAGGCGAGAGTGCGATTTGTCCCAGGCGCGCGCAACCCTCTGCGGAGATCCTGCGTGTTGAGTGCGCAAAATGCAGGCGAGAGTGCGATTTGTCCGGCGCCCGCGCAACCCTCTGCGGAGATCGTGCGCGTCGAGCGCGCGAAATGCCGGCGCGCACTGGCGACTTTGTAGTGCAACTTTAGTACGCGGGGTATCTGGGGAGCTGGAAGATGAGAACTGGTGACTTGGTAGTACAACTGTAGTACGTGGAGTATCTGGGGAGCTGGAAGCTGAGAACTGGCGACCTTGTAGTACAAACTTTAGTACGCGGAGTATCTGGGGAGCTGGAAGAGAGTCCCACAAGAGTGTCCCGCAACAGTGTCCCACTAGAGTGTCTCAAAAGAGTGTCCCTTAAGAGTGTCCTACAGGAGTATCCCACAAGAGTGTCCTACAAGAGTGTCCCACAAGAGTGTCCCACAAGAGTGTCCTACAAGAGTGACCCACAGAGTGTCCTACAAGAGTGTCCTACAAGAGTGTCCCAGAAGAGTGTCCCACAAGAGTGTCTTACAAGAGTGTCCCACAAGAGTGTCCTACAAGACTGTCCCACAACAGTGTCCCACTAGAGCGTCTCACAAGAGTGTCCCTT